AATCGACAAAGTCAAAGTAATCTCAACCGACTGATAACTGGACTGTCGCGCAAATTAGAACGAACTAATTTATTGCCTTTTTTTTTCGTCCACACAACGATAAATCATTTCTCCTTCTCTCTCTCTTTTCTCGTAAGGAAGAGAGTGAAATTACACTCAAAACAGTGGTCTTGCGTTTATAACGAAAATTTAGATACGAGAAATAAGCTTAGATGGATAAATGACTAGCACACACTTCAACGTCACATATATGTTACATCTCATCTATATAGATTACATAGACAGAATTTTTACACAAACTATTTATCTAATTTAGCAAGAAATTTTCTCTGTGAAGCCGAACCAGATTAAAGCCAATCGCATTTCTTAATAGATATTAATAACAGGACATACATTTTCCTGCATATATTGCTAAAATATTGCTGCTGCAAATTATATGTACCATAAACAATGTTTTCTGACAGATACAGAAAACATCGATACATTTTACCTGAAGCACTAGTGACTCTAGTTGCACCAACAAAACATTTCCCTGCGTGATACAGAGAGAATCAGGAACGGAATGTAGCTTTGAACAAAATGTGTCTGTTATATACGTAAGGCGGAGCTTCTCGAACAGTGTTGAGGCCAAGGGCGTCATGCATAGGAAACAAAGAAAGAAAGGAAAAAGAGAGAAAGTGTGAAAGAAAAGGCAGCCAGGGAAGAAGAAGTCAAAGCTAGGTGGACAAGCAGATAGCTACGCGACGCGACCATTAGACAAGGGCATCGAACTTTTATTCCCGACTGAAAGAATTACATGTGTACGACACAGCTGTTCACAGTCTACGGACCGTTCGACAACCTTTGGCATCGCGCGGAACGCTTCGTGACTCCACGAGAAATGCAGCCAGATCCATCTAACGACCTCTAATTTGCATGTCTCTTTGACCAATCTGAGCCGCGACGAGAGTGAAAGGAGAAAAAGTCGAAAAGTGCCTCGACTAAAAAGAGTGCCGCGAGAGAAGCGATTTCCCGAAAGAAAAAGGGCTTTCCGAGACAAAATTTTCTTTAGTTAACGGCGGGAACGAACAGCATAAGATTCCACATTGAAAAAAGAATTTGGTAACAATTACCAAACATTCCGTGAAATAATTGCAACTAAATGACTTGATTATAATAATCAAATAATTTAATTAGACGCACCACATGTGCAATTAAATGATTTTGTTATTGTAACCAGATCATTTAATTGAAACTACTTCATTAGATATTTGATTATTGTTGCTAGACTCTTTTTCCAGCGCACTTCAAGCCGACTCCGTTGCGAGGGGTTCGCGATCGAAGAATCGATCGATGTTGAAGATCGGCGTGATCCTGCGGGAAACTTTTATCCGGGCGAAATTCAAACTCGAATTCGCGACGAGCGACAAACGGTGGGAGCCCGGGAGTCCCCGCGAGCGAGTTGTAATTTCGGTTGTTATGGTCAGCGCTCATTAACTGATAACTGCCGGCATATGTCCCGTGTGATTGACACGGTAATCGATATTGATTACAAATTCTGCGACGGTTATCCTGACGGTTCGCTCCCTCCGCGTGCGGCCAGATCGATCGAGCGCTTTATTTATATCCGAGTCCGTACATAAAGGGGCGACGGTTCGGCATTGCAATCGCGGGAAGATGAAAGAGTTCTTTACACGACTGTCCGTCCAGTTGCGCCATCGACACTTCTTATCTATTTTTTTTCCTTTTTTTTATTTTTTTCTTTCCATCTTCCCCCGTTTCCTCTATTTTTTCAGAAATAGGTACGACGCACATGCGCCTCTGAATATACAGATATCGCCTCGTACATCGGCGCTATCGCGATATTCACCGAAAGCGGCCACAACAATGTTCAATGTTAGTTGCTATATCTTGTTATATTATTGTTGTTATATTATTGATACGTGGGTTGCCTCGCGTATTTGCAACGCTATTTATCGATAATACTGGCACATGATTTTTTTACGTGGGCTCTCATGAGATTAGCAAACGAAACCGACACGCTCCGAGGCGGTGATATCGCGGGAAACGTAGGAGCGATTTCCGCGTATAATCGCGGACAAGTATTTGTTAAAGCTGACGCAAAAAAGATAAGGTGTTTAGAAGAGTACATTCATTGTCACATGTCAAATGTGATTCGACTCCCGTATCTGCGTTCTCGTTCGCTTCGTGTACATGTCATTTCTCGACGATAAAAAAGTATAAAATTCAAAATCGACGAATTGAGCTTAACGTCATAAACGGGACGAGTAAATAAACGCGTGCGGTTTATGCGTGACAAAAAGATATCTAAAAATCCGACCGAAAGTCGATCTTCCGATTATCACATGGCGAGGATTTTCACGGTGCTCCAAGCTCAATTAAACCTGCCTGAGTAACCGTAGGCGCCACGCCAATTATTTAACTTGGCTCACGTAACATCAGACAAGGCTCGAAGACAAGCATAAAGATTAACGCCGCCGCAGCTGAATGCGAAAATAAGACCCGACAGCACCCACCGGTGCTATATACTTTGCACAAGTTAAGATCCACGTTTGCGCAGGATTTAGCGGCGAACTCTCTAGCAGCACATCGGCATTTAATTCAGAATCGGATTTACGGGCGAGGCTAAACAAGCCGCGGGGTCTGGAATCCGCGAAACGGGGGAACGTTGTAACACATCGCCGACTATATATATATATATATATATATATATGATCCCCGAGATCTCAAACGCGCGGGAACGAGAACCTCGCGCCAATTATCGCGTCTTCATTCAACGAGCGTGTATTACGATTCGCTCTCTGTAATTAATCGCGTCGGATAAGCGGGAGATTCAAGAAGATAAACGACGGGAAAAAGAAGAGGAAGTCACGAATTCACTCCGTCGCTGTAACAGACGAAGCGGAAAAAAGGCACCGCTGTTATCCGGTGAAGGGAGAAGCACGCGGCTTAAAGCCGCGAGCTTAAAGCCGCCGCTAATTTAATCGGAATCCCGTCATGCGACCGGCTCGCGCGAGGAGAGCTTTCCCCAGCGCATGAGATACATAAACCCGATTCGTCTCGTACGTCTATTCTTACGTTCATAAGGTTATTTACACTCAGTGTCTGACACCGTTTTCGTAGCTCGCGTTGCCGCACCCGGAGCCAAGCTCGACTGAAGCAAGGCTGTTTGTTCGCCAAAATGTGTCTAGCAGCGGAGGACCGAAAAGTACGGCTGAATGTTTTGCAAGATGCCCGAGAGTGGAGATCCAAGTGGACAACGTGCGCACTTACTGATTATTTCGAAGCTCGAAACTTGAGAGAGAGAGAGAGAGAGAGGAAAAGTAAAATAGCGTAGAGTAGAGAGGGGGGGGGGGG